TATCTTAAACATGTTGTTCACAATAAGCATTTATGTTTTGCTCTGGATCTTAGCCAATACTATTTCAAGGGTGAACTATGATGACTATGAGCCACTTGGAAATTAAGACCTATATGTTAAATTCAACATTTTGTTTTCCATGTACACAGTTGGAAAAACTCTTCTCCTTTTTACTGCTGCCAAGTAGTGCATACAAAAGACCTCTCACCTCATGCCCTCAACTCTAACCCCGAGAGTACTCTCTCCTCTGCCCTGTGCATCCTCAAGCTTCCCCACGGCGCAAGTGCACTGCACTCTGTGCAGTGATGGAGTGGGGTGAGTGTCGGGAGGGGAAGGCTTGGTGTCTGTGCTCATCTGGGGAAGTCCAATAACCCAGTAAGACAGCAAAGGAAAATGTGCATTTCATTAACAAAGAACAAGAACCAAAAAGGGTAGTTTCTGGAGAAGGCGAGAAATGAATGCCTGAACTGGGTCTTTGACTTTGGGGCTCAATGTTTGGTTTCTTGGTCCTTGGTCCCTCACCACTGTCTTGTCAATGGAACCACCTTGTGAGTGCAGAGAGGCTCTAACGGAAGTTGACAATCTCAATCTCTAGGTTCAGAACACAACCAGCAGAGCTCCTGCAGGAGATACTGCTAGAACCAGAGTGAGAGTAGAATGAAAAGCTTTCGTGATAGATGGGTGTGGGGGCAGAGAATACTTGACTCCAGTTCAAACTCTTCCCTGACTCCTTGAGCTCTCCTGTGACCTTCAGTTGTAGCAGGGAGCAACTGTAAGTGCTGTAAGAAGTCTAGGGCAGAAAACCAGACACAAATAAGGGGAGGGGAGACCTGTGTCGAGGCAAGATCATATACAAGTCACTGCAGTCCATCAACTGGGAGACCCAACCACTGCTGAATGCCACGATGGAGGCTTCTCCCCACTCACTGGCTGTGTTCAAGGTCTCTAGATCAAGTAGGCAAAGGCCAGAGATACAGCTTGCCTGAATCATTAAGTCTCTGACATTCCTCTGCAGAAACATATGCCGTGGGTGTTGGGGTAGCTGCAAATGACCATACTCCATAGCTGTCACTGTAGGGTTCCTGAGGCCCAGAAGAACTACCTGCCTCTGACACTGCACAGCACTTTTATCAGTGAAATGATGAAAACTAACAAGAGTTTGGCTTTTCCGGCTTACGATGATAATCCACTGAGAAGAGGGAGGCTGAAGAGGGAGGCTGTGAAGTGCCCCTGGCTGTTTGCTCGAGAGACCACCAACAATAGAGATGTGAGGTTCCTGCTTCGAAACTGTTACAGCAGTCCTTGAATGAAAGCTGACACAGAAATATGTGTAAACAGAAGCATGATAGAATCAGCTGTGTTTGAAGAGGGAGAGAACACAAGGTCTGATCATCAAACCCCAACTTCACTCACTTCCCACCTCCCCTCCTGCTCTCAGGGACTCCATGGCGCCCCCACCACTCACAGGGACAACACTCAACATCAGCATTGACTCTATGGGGACAGAAAGGTGCATGACTTGTGCTTTTTTTTTTTTTTTTTTTGGCACATCTAAGAACTGGGGTGTAGGCCAGAGGTTGAGGGCTGATTTGAGAGGATTCACTAAAGACAGAGTCGGGAGCAGAACAGGCAGATCTACTGAAATACACTGCTGAGGGGAGCAGCAGGTCAGGAGAGGTCTGCTGTGCCGTGTGGGTCACCACCCTGGCCAGGGATCGAACACATGTTGCAGTGGCTGCGGATAACTTCATAGTGCTGAGACTTAACTTGCTGCTCCACCAGGGAGGGCCTTATTCTTGCTGTCTGAGACTAGAAATAAAGAATTGTTTAGGTTCTAGTGAGCAGGTGGGACAGTATGTCTACTAGGATGTGGGGGCAGACTGGGCACCACTTCAAATGATTCTGGCGCAGGGACTACACTGATGATGGAAAGAAGGCTAAGCACGGTCATGTGACTAGTGGCTTTACCTTAGATACTGAAGCCGAAAGACCCTGGTGTGAGTTGCATGGTCAGCAGCACCATGCTCTGCTCTGTGGGGTGGTCACTCACCCCCCAAGTGCACAGGGAAGCCATGAGCATTGCCCAGAAAGACAAGAGACAAAGTGGGAGTGTTCAGAGAGGGACTGGTGGGAGTGTCTTAGAGCGATCTCATCATGTGGGGACCAGATGAAGGGGGGGCTCTGGGGACGAGGGCATGAAGGGTGGGGATGTGGAAAGACAGGAAATGATAGTTGCTTTCAAAGCTAAAGGGAAATCAGAAGTTAAGTTTGTTCTCAGTGGCTCCGCGAGCAGGGTCCATGGGTGGAAGGTGAAGCCAAAGGAAAGACAGCTCCATCAGGGAAGGACTTCCTGCAGAGCTCATCACAGACTGCACTACTCAAGGGAGACCAGCGCTGGCCCCAGAGGGGCGCCACTGGTTTGAGGACCTCCCCTCGGCTTCTATGTTTGAACAAGGGAATTGAAGCCTCCTAATTTTGAAAAGCAATGATTCCAAGTAAATGCCCATTTAGAGCTAGAGGAAAGGATGCTTTGGTGGTGGGCATGTGTGGTGACAGCAATCAGAGGCAGTGTGAAACATTCCTTTAAAATCGTTTAGAGTGTTGTCAACCAATGACAAAAAAATTAAAATGAAAATAGAAAAATAAACACCTATTTATATGGAATTCTAAGCTTCCCAAACTCCAAACAACTACAGTATTTGTCATACTGCTGGTAATGACAAATGACATTTATAAAAATAACCTTCAGTTCGAACAACTTTCCAAATGGGCATTCCTAAATCAGGATGGCTGGTATCTAGGCGAATTCTAGTGACAAGAGTCATTAGCTGAGTTGCTACCCACCCTCTATGTAGTCCCTGTACCCATAATTGGGAAGGAATCTGAACTCCATTCCCAAAAGAGCCTGGGCGAGAGTGAACCACGTCACATGCATCTCCTTCCACAACTCTGCTTACGTACACTCTACGGTAGACGCATTTATGCAGATTAGCTTCTAACAATTAAGTACAAGCACATGCAAACTTATTTTTTAAAAGAATCTTTTTTAAAGAAATCATTTCTTATTTCAGATCCTAATGACTTTGCATTATCTTCAGACATAAGCGCCTGCAGGATGCTAGATTGTTACAGTATGTGACTCCCACACACAGCACTACAATCCCAGTAACATACTGCTCTTGACTTAACACTCCTTGATTAACAACACTGCTCACATCTCTTAAAAATCAGTTCTCATACACTGTCCCTAGTCCCTGTCTGTGCTCATCCATTCTTACATGCCCTGTGAAATCCAGGTATATGTAGAGAGTTGTCCAGCCACGACCATTGGGAGTTTTCAGCACTCATATCACTATTTTTTTTCTATGCAGCACATGGCAAGTTTATTAAGAAAAAAGAAAGAAAGAAAGAAAGAAAGAAAGAAAGAAAGAAAGAAAGAAAGAAAGAAAGAAAGAAAGAAAGAAAGAAAGAAAGAAAGAAAGAAAGAAA